GTTAGCGTCCACCCCGTAATGGCTGCAGTGGGCACATGCCCCAGACAAGCGCTGCCGCCCAGGAAGACGCTGAGACGTCGCCTGGCCACACGTGATCAGAGAGCTGTGCGTGTGGGTTGTCCTCGTGGAGCGGCCCAGGTGTGGGCCTCCCGAGAGCCCTGCATCAGCTGTCCCTGTGCAGGAAGAACAGGCCGTGCCCAAGACAAAGCAGCAGCCCCAAACGACACCAAGCTGTAAAAACCATGGCTGGGAAACAAAGGAGGTGAAATGGGCACACAACACAAAGTCACAAAAAGTGAGGCTGGTTGGAATTGTTACTGCCACGATTGTCCAGAGGAGCAGCTGCCTGGGTGGTCAACGCCATCAGCCCTCTAGGACGCCTAAGGCGAGGACCAAGGAGAGGACGGGGCAGAGGGAGGCTTGCGCCAGGGAGAGGGCGTGTCCAGTTGCCAGCAGACCGAGCCTGGCCTCAGGGAGGAGGAGGAGAAGCAGCTGGCGCGACCGGCAGCGGCCACTCCGCAAAACAGCTGACAGAGCCACCCCGAGCGACAGCGCCACTCTTGCAAACAGGAACAGCAGCGAGCAGGTGTGCCTGCTTCCCCTGCTGGGAACAAACTTCTTGTTCGTGATCCTTCACGATTCTAGATACCAAAGTTTTATTTCAGTGAGCTTTATTTCCTATACAAAGTAAATTTAAAGGCATTACTTTCAGAATATCCAAACCAATAAACGGCTACTGATTATTTAAACATCCAAGACTAGGAACTGATTATAAGAGTTTAACATGTTAACAGCCATGTGAGTTGTATTTAACTCACACCTGTTTTGAGCCCGAAGCCTGATGAAGCTTGTGTAAGTCATACGTCTCTTTACCTTGGGAGCCACGAGGTGTGCAGGCAACTCACGCTGCCACGCTGTGGCACATGTGTTATGTGATGGGAGGCCCCTGGGCAAAACTCTGCAGTTAGTTCTTGAAAATCTTACTTGTTGATGACCTTACTGTTATTGATACAACTAATATTGACGATTTAGTTGTATACAACTCACTCACAGAAAACAATAAAAAATAACAAATGTTTCATTAAATTAGAAAGGATATTTTTGTTTTCAAAGTTTTTATTCTATTTTAGTAATAAAACACTGCGGCCCCAAGGGAAAAAAAAATTTTTATAGTGTGGCAATCACGTGTTAAATTTTAGAAGAAATCTAGTTGGAAAAGATCTGAAAGGAAATAAAAGACCCAGCTGTTGGCATCATCTGCCCGAATTGTACCCGGACCAGAACGTGGCCCACTGACGTCGGAGAAAAAACGGAAAGGACGGCACCTGGGCCGTGTGAGACACGCTGGCACATACGCTGTCAACACGGGCAGCAGACAGCCTGGCCTGCACCGCGCCGGGGGGTTCCCCACCGTGGTGCAGACTGGGGAGCGCAGCACGGCGGGTCTGTCCACGCCAGTCTCACTGGGGCATCCGCAGGGACCAGCACCAGCCCTGCCACCGGCCACGCGAGATACATGCAGGGGAGATGACGGCACCGCGCCAGCCTGGGACCGGCGCGCTGTGGGCACGGCAGCACACGCCAGGGCTCGGATGCTCCCCGAGGAGGGACGTTTCCCCTCACGACACGCGTGAGCACTGTCAGCCTTCCTCCGGGACAAAGAGGAGCAAGGGGGAAAAGGCTGGATGACGATGGGATGTGATTCACTATAGTCCACGTGACACAGCCGTCAGAAATGAGAAAGGATGTTCTCGGTCACGTGAGAAGTATGTTCCAACCCCACCATCAGTGGCTTGAGTCAACCCTCACATGCTAGTGACATATTTCACTCCCATTAACAAAAGTCATGAGAGCATCGTTCATAGCAGCAAAATGAAACCGAGATGCAGAGTAGAGCAAACGTGCATCGTCCTGTAGCTCCCAGGTGCACAGAGAAAAGCAGGAAGGACGCACCGTGTGTGCTGGAGCGCACGCGTCCACACAGGCCCCGGGACGGCCCAGGTGCACAGAGAAAAGCGGGGAGGGCGCGCCGTGTGTGCTGGAGTGCACGCGTGCACACAGGCCCCGGGACGGCCCAGGTGCACAGAGAAAAGCGGGGAGGACGCACCGTGTGTGCTGGAGTGCACGCGTCCACACAGGTCCCGGGACGGCCCAGGTGCACAGAGAAAAGCGGGGAGGGCGCGCCGTGTGTGCTGGAGTGCACGCGTGCACACAGGTCCCGGGGACGGCCCAGGTGCACAGAGAAAAGCGGGGAGGACGCACCGTGTGTGCTGGAGTGCACGCGTCCACACAGGTCCCGGGACGGCCCAGGTGCACAGAGAAAAACGGGGAGGACGCACCGTGTGTGCTGGAGTGCACGCGTCCACACAGGTCCCGGGACGGCCCAGGTGCACAGAGAAAAGCGGGGAGGGCGCGCCGTGTGTGCTGGAGTGCACGTGCACACAGGTCCCGGGGACGGCCCAGGCAGGGAGGGCTGGAGCAGAAACGTTTCTCGCCGTGTGTCACCGAACAGCAGCGTTCTGGGTGCACAGATCTTAATTGCTAATTCGAGAATTTTCATGACTTTGTTCATCAAAAGCGTTTAAAGCATCTTTTTAGATGTCAAGCACCACGTAAGACTGGGTGACACAACGGGAAACAAGACGCCGTCTCTCTGCTCAAGGACGACGCAGTGGGACCAAGACAAGGCACATGAGCTGTGACCAGGAAGGGGCAGCAAGCACAGGGCAGCGAAGGAGGGCATTCACCTCCGGCGCGGAAGTCGCCGCTCCTGGCCGAGGGAGGTGGTGCGCTGTGAGTGTGTCCCGTGAGGAGGCAGCTCTCACCCGCGACTGCCTCTCTCCCAACGGCTGTGTGCAGGCAGCCCTGGGGGACAGGCGCGGGTCCCGGGCTGACCTGGGGAACCCGACGCCACCTCTCTTGAACAAGGCTGCCGGGTTCTGGCATTTTGACACTGGGGGCTTCCTAAGCCTGGGCTCCTCAGGCGTGACACACATACCACGTCAACGTCCCGGGGACTGGGGAGCAGGGGCCCGCCGCGCTGTGAACGGCAAGTGTTTCACTCCGGCCCAACACTGGGTATCTCCTGAAGCCTGTGAAACCGTGGGGCTGCCCTGTCAGCCTGCAAGTGGGAACCCAATTAAACCACTCACAGTTCCTGACACACAGACAGAATCAGTTCAGCATCTTTGTTTAAAAAACATCAAAGAAAAGAAAATGTTTTAGTCAGGCACCTTGCATGGCCTGACCCTCCGCTGACTGTCCCCCACCCCTGGCCCAGCTGAGTACCTCTGCGAGACGTCCCCCAGCAGCCACCTCTGCTCCTCCCACCTACGGTGACAGCCCCTCCAGACCTGGGCTTAAACAACATAAAGCCTCGAAGGTTCCCATCAACCTGTGCACAGGCCGGGACCGCCCGCCCACCTGCGCCTGCACAGGGCTGGCTGGATGTTAGGCTCGGAGCGCTAAGGTGTGTGTTGGCAAGATTAGGTTTAGCTTAGTCATGAGTCAGTGCTAAGTCACAAAGCTCTAAATACCTCCTGAGCTTACAAAGTGAATCCTTTGTAAGAGTTCTGAATTGAAATTGGCTGCTGTCTGGATCTGTTAAGCATTTTACTTAATTTTTTTTAGATTCATCGTGTAATAAAAGAGACAAGTTGTCCATGTCTGACTTACACAAATTACCTCAACTGAATTAAAAACTAGGTTTTTTCTCATTTCTGGTACTCTTTCACACCCATTTCTTAATCCCGCGGAATGTACAAGTGACCACGACAGACCCTCAGTGTCTCGTCTCCCTTCTGGTTTTGAGGCAAGTGGGTGCAACTGCCCTGCGGACCCGCTGGTCCATCCGGTCAGACGCCTTCGCTTGGCCCTGGCAGCGGGCAGCCCCTGGCTGACGTCACCTGTGGCATCCTCATTCTGGTAACTCACTACTATTTATATCCCTGGCATTTGAGCCATGCATATTTCAAAGGGAAGAAAAAACACAGGTTGTCTCTGCAGAGAGAGTGGCCAGGGCCTACCCCTCCTGAGGGGCAGCAGGCTCCGTACCAAGCACTTCCTGCAAGGCGGAAAGGTGAAGCAGGTCAGATACGGACATTTTTCCTGCAGGGCAAATGTTGAAAGTAAGAGCCTTCCCCACAAGAAGATGTCCAAGGAGAAAGCAGTAACGTGTCTCCCAGTGGCACCCAGCAGGGGAGGTCTCGAGCCTTTGCTCAACTCGCCCTGCTCTTTCTGCCTGCGGAGGTGCAAGGCCCGCCTATCTCGCATGGCTCCCGTTCTGTCTGTTGGGCTGGCCTAGCTAGAGCCCACAGCCTGAGGCCCTCTGCAGGACACCACACTGTGCTGGTTTCCTTCTTTGAAGAGGATAAAATCGAGACAGAAAGCAGGGAAAGCTGTAGGACGAGGGTTTTGTGCTGTTCACAGACTGGGTGCCGTCCAGGCCCCTGCGCTGCAAACAGGCTGTGAGCCGGCCTGGCTGGAGTGCACGCCGCCACCCCAGCAGGCCTCCTGCTGACCGGCAAGAACCACCAGTGCTCCACAACAGCTCTGTCTCCAGCAGCTCACAAGTCCCGCTTTCCCGTTTGCTCTCTGTTAAGTTTCCACCATCATTCGCCGGAAAAAATCATCTGTGACGTAACTAAGAATTTAAAATGCACGAATTCACATAACTACTTATTCCCTGGAAAACGGGAGCTGCTTTTGCAAAGTGTAACAAAGCCATGGAATTATTTCAGTAACTGTTGCTGTTATTTCAAACCATGGAAACTGGTTTGAACGATTTGTTAGGAATTAAGGTTTTCTTTTAAAAGGTGTGTGTGAAGACCCCACAAGACAACACTACACGCATTTGACCAGCAGCTCATTAACAAACAGAGCAAAGTGACCTTTTTAAAAGAGACACTCCGGTGGCCCAGAGCGCCGTTACTGGAGGGCGTGAGGCGTCCGCCTGGGCCTGTCATGCACAAGTGCCGCCGTGCGCACCACGCCCGCCTTACCTCGGTGCTTTTCTGTTTGGGACCTCAAGAGTTCTGCACACTTTGCTTCCTCCTCCTGTATTTCCAGATGAAATCGGCATTCTGGGTGAATGCTATTCACCTGTTCAAAGTTAAAAGAAATACAAACAACTAAAAATTCCACAATAAGAGGAAAGTAAAGCAAAAGTTCTACAAAAACAACCATCCTAACTGAAATTCATTTACAAGCAATTACCTTCATTTTTTTCTGGCATGGTTATTTAAAAAAACAAACAAACTGCAGTATTTACTTTGTAAAGGTACTGTAAAACAAATATAAAACTTGACGGAATATTCTTTCTAAGCAGGAAAATAAACCAATAATACATTGCGTGTTGTTAGTACAGGCAATAGAGCTCTTTAACCCAACAATCTGTCAATATTCAAGAGTCCTCGGTTTCACAGCCCTGATTTGATCAAGCACATACATGTTTCCCTGAGGCCGTTCTTAGCAACTGCACGCTCCACGCGGCTCACAATAGAACAGCCTTATTTTTACAGCTTCAGCACATGTTCAAAATTTAACTCTATGAATGTAGATAAAAGCGTGCTCATTCTGACTTTGTAATTTGTTGTGAAAGAGCTTTTCAGAAAAGCTGAGCGGGTGAGCGGGGAGGCAGAGGGGACAGTCACATCCTGGCAGCCCAGACAGGACTGGCAGAGGAGCTGCAGATGCTACCTAAGTATTAACACTTAATATGGTCTGTTAACACAGCACATGACAAAACCACGTTTCAGTCAAGAAGACAAGGTCCAGCATTCCCTTCCCTCATCCCCACCCCCAGTATCCACTTTGCACGCAGGAGCTGCCCTGAGAGGTCTCGCTCCCCACCCCCTCCATCTCTCTTTCCTTCAGTCGGACCAGACTTTGAGAAGCAGTAACTAGAGACTCACACGCAGGTAGCCCATGGCCACCTGTGCGTAGTTATCCTACCACTGAAATAAGTCAATCGGAATTTCAGCCAGGAATAAATGCCCTCGCAGAATTAAGGGAAGCAGCTTAATCCTGGATACTTCTGCCACTTCACCTCCGCGTAGGAAGGACCCGGGTCTGTGGTTCCTGATCCCCAATGGACAGCGCCCAGGCAGAGACCCTGGCTTCGGGCACTCTGTGTTCATATGTGGACAGTCAGTGCCTTAAACTTCAGAATTAGGGACATTATTTGTTAAGGCATCAAAGGCACTACAATAGCTAAGACTCCTGGAATGCAGCGCAATGACTTGTTTTAGGGCATTTTAGAGATAAAGCAGCATTAACCATAACAGCCCCGGTGCGCCCAGCCTCCCTCCTGCCCTCCGCGCAAGAGTTCGCCCGGCCTCCCTGCCGGGCCTCCCCGCAGACCCGGCGTTTCCCAACCGAGAGGGGCTCGGCCCTCCGGAGACCGAAATCCACGCAGGGGCCGCTCTCCGAGAACGGCCCAGGGTTGGAGCGGTGGGTGGCACCGTGCGACGCGCCGCCAGATGTGCGCACTCGCCGCGCTCCTCACGGTCCGCAGAGAGGACAGCAAGGAATAAGGCTCAAATTTTTTTTTTTTTAAGTTTTCAAATAAAGGGAATAACTGTCGAGAACTACATAATGTATCAATGCGCTAATTTAACAGACTTCAGCTTATCATTTCCTCGGTGCTCTTTAAAAACAGGATTTCCAAAGGGAAACTTCCTCTGGCCGCGCCACGTCCCTCCAACACGCACTGAAACGGGCACTAACCGGGGTGAGTGCGCGGCGGTGGGGACGTGTCCGGGGACGGAGACAAAGCTAACTCCGACGTGCCCCTCAAGTGGGAGGCCCGCGCGGGTCCCGGGTTCGAGCCGCCGCTCAGCGCTCAGGGCTCGGGCAGGAGCTGTGCCCCGGGGCGGCGCAGCCGGGACAACGGGACGCGGGCAGCGAGCGCACCCTCCCGGCCCGAGTCCGGGGCCCCGCGGGGTCGGGAGTTCGGGGCTCCGCGCTCCGAGGTCTGCCGCGCCCGAGGCGACCCGCTCCCCTCCCGGGCCCCGGCGCCCCGCGCTCGGGCTGGGGGGCGGGCGAGGCTTGGCCGGAGCTGCGCGCCCTTCTGGGGCGGGGGATGCGGCGGCGGGCGGGGGTCGCGCGCACTCACCGGGGCGAGCAGCCAGCCGCAGCAGGTCAGCAGCGCGGGAGGCAGCAGCGCGCGCGCCCTCATTTCGGGCTCGGCGCGCCGGGGGCCCAGCGCCCCCCGCCTCCGTCCCCGGCGCCCGCGGCGACTCCCGGGTGCGCACCCGGGCTCCGGCGGTCCGAGCGCCGCGCGCGGAGCAGCTGCCGCCTCTGCGCCCGGGCGCCCGCGAGCGCGCCCGCCTTCCGGTCCCGGCCGCCCCGCCCCGCGCCCCTGACCCCGCCCCGCGCCGCCATCCTCTCCCTCCCTCCGCCCCGCTCCCCTCCCGGTGGTCTCAGTGCACACCCTGCGAGCCTCCCCTCCGTCCCCGCCCGCCCCGCCCCCACCTCCCCTCCCCCGCTCCCCCCCAGGGGATGCTGACAGGCTGATGAGTCCATTGCTGTCACTGGCGCCCAGAGATGCCCCGTCAGGGCACAAAAAGCAGCCTTTCTTTGCTTTAATAGTCATTTGTCATCTTTGTTTGAACGTTAAGGACAAATTTTTGACTTGAATGGTAAGCACAGAATTCCGACCTATGGTACCCAACCTGCATGACAAATTACGAGAGAACATAAAATCTGAACTTGAAATTTTAAGCAGAAGCAGCCAACGTTCGGGTGTCACCTTCACGTGGGCTCCGAGCTGTCCCGGAGGCTTTGGTCTGGTTCCTGTTAAATGACATTTTTTCTTTCTTCCGAGTTCTCAGGCTTCCAGCTCTCAAATCACATTAGGGCCAGGATCCCGAGGGCGCCAAAGCTCGCTGTGAGCCCTGCTGGCCCGGGGCCACGGACAGTGGGGGACGGTCGCCTTCCCGCTAAGTCACCTGTGCGGGGAGAGCGCTGCCAACTGCCCTGGGTCCCAGGAGGAGCTGCTTCCCTGAGGGCCGCTTTGTGCAGAAAAGCAGAGCTCGGAACCGTCTCTGGAATCTGAGAGGGAGACCAGGCGGCTCCCAGAACAACGAGTCCACGTTGCGTGGCTTGGGGGAAATCGGCCACTCTGACCGTTGACAGGCACTCCCGGCAGGAGGCTTCTGTGGCACGGTGGGTCCTCGGTGGAGCTGGGGGGATTCTCCGAGTAGAGAATGTTCCCCGGGGACCCGGGGGCTGAGCTGGGCTCCCAGGGCATCTATTGTGTGTGTGTGTTGGGGGGGGGCAGCGACTCACGTGTGTTCATTCATTCATTCGCTCACTCATGCATTCAGGAATTTACCCATAGCTGGGGCTACTGGGAGAAATCGTGGGCGGGTGGCCTCACAGGGGACACGGGTGGCCTCACAGGGGACACAGGCCCAGCCAGCTCAGAGCAGGAATCTGAATCAGGACCATATGGATGGACCCTGCCCCCCTCACGCCTGTGTTTCCTGGGGCAGGCTGCTGAACATCTCTGTTCCTCCTCTGTGCGATGGGCCCGGCAGCAAGCCAACCTCCTGTGGGGTCAGGGGTGAGTGGGTCCTCCTGGAAGGTCCCCGAGCAGGGCCGGGCGCACAGAGTCCTGCAGCTCACACGCCTTCGCCGGGGAGTCGGTGGGTCGGGCGATCCAGTCCCTGCCGGATTCTGTTGTGGGACGCGCCTGCCAGGGCTGGGCTGCCCGGAGCTGCTCAGGGAGCCCCCGCTCTGATCGGCCCGTCTGAGACCCAGGGACGTGGGATTCTCAGCACAGCCGAGTTTAAGGTGTGTGGATTCCAGCACGCACACGCCTTTTGCAAGAACAAAATGGGAGAAACAATTCCAATTGAACGGCAAAATTAAATTTAACACATGCACTATTTATTACACACCGTTCATTTCAGTATGCATGAAAGGTTAGGTGCCTGTGACTAGCTGACGCCCAGGCACCTCAATACCGGGGCAACAGAGTGAGCTCTGTCTCAAAAAAAAATAAATCAAAATACACTGTCCTTAAATCTCTCAGATCACCAAAAGCGCAGCACCAATGGTTCCACAGAGTATCCAGAGCAGATGGCCAAAATATTCAGCGACGCGCTGATGCCAG